GTGTGTGTGTGTGTGCGTGCGTGCGTGCGTGCGTGCGTGCGTGCGTGTGTGTGTGCTGTGTGTGCTCTATGTGTGTGTGTGTGTGGGTGTGGGTGTTGTGCGTGTGTGTTGTGTGTAGTGTGTGTGTGTTGTGTGTAGTGTGGGTGTGCTCTATGTGTGTGCGTGTGTGCTATGTGTGTGTTGTTCGCCCGTTCGGATTCTGTTTGTTTCTCATGCTTGTCCCCCCCACCTTCCTTTTTCGCTTTCCTTCGCCGTTTCCCTGAGTCAGGCTGCCGCACCTACCCCAACTATCGAAACACGTTCCTCCATGGGGGTGATCACGGTAGCGACTACAGCGTGACTGCCGTATCGACCGTCAAGATCGCCGCTGGCCGCTACCGCTTCTACTGTGCGTGCTGCTTGGTGTGATCGACGCTTGTCGTGACTCACGAGTGTTTGTGGGACATTAGCTTTCAACCGCACGACTATTGACAATGCATCCTGTGTTGATCTCTCTTCGACATTTCAGGCCGCTCTGACGACTGCTGCCAGATCCACATTATCAGCGGGCCAACAACGTTCAGCCCAATCGACGTGCGTGTCTATGTAGTTTTGTGTGTATGTGTGGTGTGTGTGTGTATGCGTGTGTGTATGCATGTGTGTGTATGTGTGCGTGCACGTGTGTATGTGTGTGTGCGTGCATGTGTGTGCGTTGGTGTTGTTTCACTTCCTTGACACCAATGCACCAATGCACAACGCACAACGCACACGCATTTTCACGCTTGTCTGCAGCACGGGTGTGGCGGTTGCACGTCGTGCAATGGACACACAGCGGATTACAATCTGCCTGGCGGGACGTATCGCATCCAGTACTACTCGCACGAGTATGGTGCGTCTGCTTCTTTTGTGTGCTTGATCGCTCGTGCCATGCGTTGTGTGCACTTCCCATGCTTCCTTCATCGTTGCCAGCCAGCCACTGTGCACTCACACTGCACACACACACACACATATCATGCTTGGCGTTGTGTTCTACGTTTGCGGTTGGCTTGCAGGTGGCGGCGCCTACTATGACTTTTACTTTTACCGCATCTGACATGTGGATGTGTGTGTGTGTGTGTGTGTGTGTGTGTGTGTGTGTGTACTGGGGGGGGGGTTCTTTTCATGCCTTTGTGTCTGTTGCAAACGCATGCGTTCTACATGCCGTTGCTGTTCGTGCATTTCTCTTGCTTCTTTGCGGTGAGACTTCTCCATCCATACATGGCAACCAACAGCAATCAAGTCGAGAAACACTGCACAACACATCACGAGAGTGTACCGATATTCCCACCCACAACAACAAGGCATCACCTCCCGTGATGTCGGGACTTCGTGAGGCAGTCGTCTTGTCTGAGCTCCTGAGTGGGATCATTCGCGATGAAGACGTTTGCGTGTGGTGAGTGGCTGACGTGAGCCACGTGATCGTGGCAACCACGAGAGCAGCAGCAGCACTGACGCGATGACCAGGGGTGTTATGGTTGCGTGCTTTGTTATTCCTTGGGTTCATTGGTAGAAGGGAGTCAAGAAGAAGGAGAAAAAGAAGACAAGAAGAGGAGGTAGCGATAGCGGACTGTCGTCAACATCACGTGGTTGCCATCATAAGCGAACAGCAGGAACAAGAGCAAAGTACTCGGGACTAGCATTAGGACAGTGCAGGGAACGACAGCACATGTTGTCCATATCACACGCACGTCCCCAACAAGGGGTGACGTGCATGTGTGTATTTGGCAAGCAAGAAAGAAGTACACGGAACGAGCATGGCGCGAAAGAACGATCTGTATTGAGACAGAAACGGGCTTTTCACACAAGGCATCCAACTGCCACCTGGGCAATGGGTGAAGTGACTGAGTAGCGGCAACAAACAGAAGCGCACAAATGCTCCAGAATGATGCGCGGAAGGAGGCAAGCCGTGCAGCATGAAAAACGGAAGTACAGAGGCAAACCAAAAGGGAACAACGGCAAGCAGGCAATGAAGCAGGGGTACCAGTGTGTGAGACGCTAGGCTGTGCTGTCCACGTTGCACTTCTTGGCCTCTCGCAGAAGCTTCATGGCGTGCCCAACAGCCACTTTTGAGTCTTTCAGCATCTGCATGGTCAGCTCGCGCTCATGCACCAACGCCACCAACACCTCCACCGTATCTATGCCGTGCTCTATCAGCGCGGACTTAACGTGCGGCAGCAGCGAGTGGCGGTTGAGCCATTGAATCAGCTCGGGCTCAAATGAGCTTGGGGACGAGGACGATGGGGTGGCAGGTGATGGTGTAACGGGAGTTGTAGCGGTGGAGGTCGAGGAAGATGTCTGCCGTGCAGACGAGTTAGAGGGGTTGAGTGAGGCACAGCACGCGCCAAGTGGAAGGGAGAAAGGAGTGCGACTGCTGCATGTACGAAAACAACCACTCACGAACACACAGCCACACATAGACAAGCACACACGCACACACACACACACACACACACACACACACACACACACACACACACACACACACACACACACACACACAAAGCCATACCTGCGTGGAACGACATGCAGTTGTTGCTCCACTCCCTGCTTGCTGCTTGCTCCTGGCAGAGACGACGACCTGGCGCACCTTCTCTGCAATGTCGCGCAGCTGTGACGTGCGGTCCACAGTGGCATCGAATACAACGACAGCGTCAATGTCAAACAGCGACAAAACCACTTCGCGCACGCTCTTGTGCTGCTGGGGTGGTGGCAGGTGCAGCACCTGAGAAAAGAACTGGTCGAGTGCTGACGCCGTCTTCTCACTCACAACATCTGGCAACTTTGTTGCCAGCCGCTTCAGGCGGTCAAACGAGTCGTACTCGCTCACCTCCGCCGCGCTCATAACATGGTGGCTGCTGTCGTGCCAGCCGCTGCCAACGAAGAGCGGAACAACGCGGCGAAGGCGGATGTTGTCTGGATGCTGGCGAGCAAGCTGCTGCAGCTCCAGCATCGCCATCCACTCCAACAGCACGTTATCACACGTGTCAGTGTGGCTGAGCGAGCGCATTTGATGGATGGCACCCACGGAAACGACGGGGCAGGCGACAGTACTGTTGTGCAGGGCTGTCATGCACGCGTGCTTGAAGTTGACGCCTGTCTCCAAGTTGTTGGCGTCCACAAAGGTCACCAGTCCGTGCTGGTCCAACTTAGGGTACAATGTCATCACCAGGCCTCGGTTGCCGCGTTGCCTGTGACGTGGTGGTTGAATGTCGAAATAAGAAAGGAAGAGAGAGGGAAGCAAAGACACCCTGTTCGCACCATACACACATTCACACATACACACACACACACACGAGTCTCACCTGTAGCTGATGAAGACGTCGTATTTGTCCTGCTGACCCATAACTGGCAAGAGTGGACCATACTTGGCGACCAGATCCCCTGGTGACAGCAGCTGCGAGCGGCCAACGCGAAGCGCTTTCTTGTTCGTGTGGTGGGTGTGCACGTCCTCGAAGAACAGCAGTCTCGTGTCATTGAATGGCAGCAGCAACGTGGCCTTGAGCTCGGGGTAGCGCTGCGTGACAGCTGTTGTGATGGTGTTGTACAGCATGTGCAGCAGCGTGCGAGGACGTGCAGCCATGACCTTGATCTTGATGCCGCCAACAGCCGGCACGAGCTGCATCTCGATCTCAGCCACGTCCATGAAGATTACGGCGTCTGTGCGGCTCAACATGGGCGGTTCCGTTGCACCGTGCTGCATGTGTGCCATCACGCGTGCCAGAACCATCGGGAACAGGCCCTCTGGCAGGAAAGAGGCTTGCTGCGTGTCTGCAATCTTTGCGCTTACACCGCTCTTGAAGTCCCTCAGGCTGAAGGCGACGTAGGCTGTCTTCTCTTCATATCCAGCGTATCGATTGGCCTGCTGTGCTGCTGCCGTGCTCAGCGTCACCGACGACGACGCCTGTTCATCCTCCAGCGTCATCGGCAGGATTGCTGGGACGAGGTACTGTTGGTGTTGTTGGTGTTGCTGTTGAGGGCCGAACAGCCGCACCATTGGCGCCGTGTACTGGATACACAACCCGTACTCCATCATGAGTTGGAGGAAGGGCTCAATCGTACCACCTTCCAAGTCCCTCCACAGCACATCCAGTAGACGGCGATGCAGGATCCCGCGGTCAACAAGGTCGTCCCACAGCTGCGCGCCAATGGCCCTCGCCTCGCCATCACGCACATCGTGGTGCAGGTCAAAGTTGCGGATGACGCGCGTCATCATGTCCACTGCCCACTGCGGACTCAGGATCACATAGTCCTCCATGCCTGGCACGTTGTCGTAGTACAGCACCATGGAGTACAGGTGCAGGAACTGCAGGCACGCTCTTGTCTCCTGGCGTGTGCGCAGCCCACACGTGCGCGCAATCTTCACCACCTCATCAATCGTAAGCAGCGGTCGCTTCTCGTCGCGGGCGATGGCGTTGAGCTTGTCGTAGAGGTGGAGGTAGGGCACAGCCACCTCCTGGCTCACGTACTCCTGCGCCAGCGCTGTGGAGGAGATGGTCTGGCGCAGGTCCTGGATCATGGGGTCACGGATGGACTTGGTGTTGTCGACGGGCCAGAACCACAGACCATGCTTGTCGTTGTGAATGACGCCAGGAAAGGCTGGGTTGTGGCGAAGGCGGTTGTGGATGTCGCGTGATATGTTCTCGTGCTGCTTCCTCTCGTTGATCTTGTCAGCGAATGTGCCCACGATGAGGACGGGTGCGCCTTTTGCGTGGAGGTGGAGGGAAGACAGCCAGTGCTCCATAAACTCCCACGTCTCAGCCCGCTTGCTCTCGTCTTGGTGCAACAGGTCCTCCATCGAGAACACCAGCAGGTACACCGCGTACCTGTTGGGTGGGTGGGGTGATGAAGGGAGAGGTGAATGAATGAGAGGTGGTGGAGGGACTGCAAGCAGGCAACACACACACACACACACGTACACACGCACTGCCGCACTCACTCTGTGAGGAAGAAAGGGTGAAAGATGTAGAAGGTGGACTGGCCACCCAGGTCAAAGATCTTGAACGTGACGCGCGCTTTGCCCTCGCCCATGACGGCGCCCACGTTGAACTCCTTGATCGCTTTCTCCATTTCCTCCGCAGACATGCCGGTTGTGGCAGTGGTGGTGTTATCACGGGCAGCAGCATCACTTTGGCTCGAAGGGTTCAGGGTGGCATGCTTCTTGGATGCAGATGCTGAGTCATGAGATGCCTTGGTGGGTTTGGGGACAGTCGCTGGCGACGTGCGGGAGGATGGACGTGGCCGCGTCTCCTTTGCATTCTGTAACTGCTTCTGCTTCAGTTTGGCAGCTGCTGCCTTCTTTGCCTTCTCGGCTTCCTGCTGCCGCTGTTGCTGATGGTGTTGGGCGATACGGCTCTCCAAGTCGGCCTTCGCCTTCATCATCGCCTGCTTCATCTCCCAATCCACGCCAGATTCCTGCGCCAGCGCCGTGCCGCAGAGACTGCGCATCAACTCCGAGATCTCCGCATCCAGCTCCTGCAAAGGTTGTGTGTGTGTGTGTGTGTGTGTGTGTGTGTGTGTGTGTGTGTGTGTGTGTGTGTGTGTGTGAACGCTTGTGCGAGGGGATGATCGTGTCAACCACCACCTCTCTTCACACCCATCGTCGCACACATCACATGCTCGCACCAGACAAGGGTACACACCTGCCAGTCGTGAACGTCCATTGATTCGACAATGACGGCGAGGTCGGTTGAGGCGGCGCCATGCGTGGAGTGCTCATGCTTGTTGAACATGTGACCTATGAGCGAGTGGAACGTGCTGGTCTTGCCGGCGCGCCCCTGGCCAATGAAGATGAGCTTGGCCCTGCCCGCCATGGTCGCGTTGAAGCGTGCTATGACCTCCCGCATGCGCTGCTGGAGACGCTCCCTGCGCGCCTTCTCGGGCTGCTGCTGCTGGTGGCGGTGGTGATGGTTGTGTGAGACATCATGATTATGCTTGATACGAGACCACGGAGAGCGTGATGAAGGAATGGCATGGGTGACGTGATGCATTTGCTTGTGCGTTGCAAGCAAGCACTCTTCTGATCACTCACGTCTTGCGCTGCTTGTTGTTCTTGCTTCGGTCCGGCGGCAGGAGTGGGCGCAGGTGGCTCTTGTTTTGGCTGCTGTTGCTGCTGTGGTTGCTCCGAAGGCTTGCCGCCTGGCTTCAGCCCGTCCATGCTGGTGATGGCAGCGTGGCCGTTGGCTTGTGCCACATCATAGGGCGTCTCTCCCTGCGTGTGTTGGAAAGGTAAAACGCATGAGTTGAGGAAGGAGGGAAGCAGGGAGAGGGGGGAGGACACAGCGCAAAGCAAAGAAACAATTGTGTCACGTCTTCAGAAACAGCCACACGACGCGAAGCATACCTTCTTGTTCTTGACGGCAGTGTCTGCATCTCTCTTCAGGAGCAGCTCCACGACGGCGGGCTGGTTGTGCCTGCAGGCAACGTGCAGTGGCGTGTCGCCCTGTTGTTGGGTGGGGGTAGCAAGGGGCATGGCACGTGTGGTGAGGATCTGTTGGAAACGAACACACGGCCGGTGCAACCATGAGCGAGCGGCGTCACAAACAAACCACAACACACACACACACACATATTGCACACACCTGTGCATTATGTTGGTTGATGTCTGCATTGTCCTGCTCCATGAGGGACGTGACAGCGGGAGCGTCGCCATCCTTGCAGGCGGCAAACAGCTGCTCATGCTGCCGCTTCTTCTCCGCGCGTGCTTCGTTAAAGGCGGCTTTGCCCTCATCGTCATCAAACCTGTGATCCCACGCGACATTGGATGCAAGCATCACGCAGCGTGTGTGCGTGAGGTGAAGGGTAGAGAGAAGGCAAGGAGCGAACGACTAGAGTGGAAGCACGCGTTGACTGACCAGTCTGTGCTGAGTTCTCGGTCGACGGGCAGCGCGGCACCAAAGGCGCGGGCGGTGGCGGTGGAGTTCTTGTTGATCCTAAACGAGGACACGTGGTGGTAGCGTGTGGTTGGGAACAGGCAGCAAGTGCGGTGCGTGCGTCAGGAGGGTTGGTGGTTAGGGTTGTGGAGAAATACAAGCAAGTAAAGAGGAAAACACACAGTGTGACGTGCACTCAAAAGAGTGGCGATTGGTCACACAAATCCACAACAGGACACAGGCGTTCATGAGGCAGGCGCAACGCAATCGACAAACCAGAGCGTTTCTAGCGTGCGGTTCTGGTCCAGTGCGGCACCCAGCGCCGCACCGCCAACCGGGGTGATGGAGTTGTTGGTCAAGCTGCAAGTGGCAAGAAATGCATGTTGGAAGGGCAGGGGAACGGGTGGGCAAGCAACACGTGTCAGTGTCATGGATGAAAGTGGGTTGCAGATGGACCACGTGCGCGCGTACTCGCTCGCACATCAGGTCCTACGACTTTTAAGGCACAATGGCGGAGGCAAAGGGGGCAAATGCCAGTTGCACAGGATGTGGCAGCACTTGTGGCACAGGTGAAGGATGGAAGCATTTGTTGGTTGGACAAACATGTCGCAGAGACATCGTGGGTGGCTTGCGATGCCTCCATCTGCACATGGGTATTGCAGAAGAAGCGCCTAAAGACACACATTGCAAAGAGTATCTTCCACTCACTCGAGCAATGTCATGGTCGTGTTGTGCTTCAGCATCTCCGCCAACGTCACGGCGCCCTCATCGCCGATGCGGTTGTTGTACAGGCTGTCAAGACGGTATGGTGAATGCCACGCAGGTCCATGATGCCACATGGATGAGGAAGAGTGAGTGCGTGCGTCATGATGATTGTTGTGGGTGTCAACACAGTCGTTGAACCCCACCCCATCAACCACACATGTGCACGTGATAAGGTGCAATGGCAGTGACGCAGCATACATGTGTGCATGTGTGCGTGTACACACTCACTAGAGTTGTTTGAGGGCCGTGTTGTGCTTCAGCATCTCCGCCAACGCCACAGCGCCCTCATCGCCGATGGAATTGACTGCCAGGCTGTGCAGGCACACAAGGAAACGCAGGGAGCGAAGGTGAACACACGTCCAAACATGCGCAAGCAGGGGAGGAGAAAGGGGTGCAACATGCAACACCGCCATCCCAATCAACCATGCATATCACACGATGCAGATTCATCATCACCACGCACCGGAGTTGTTTGAGGCAGGTGTTGTGCTTGAGCGCCTCTGCCACCGCACGCGCCCCAATGACGCCGAGGCCAGCACCAACCAAGCTGTAATTACAAATGAATGGTGTGTGTCATGAAATGAGCAAGAAGACTGAGGATACACAGAGCAAAAACATGAGGGTGCCAGTCCCAACCTGCCACAAACACACACAGTGTGTCCAGGCGGTGCGAGGGGACAGGACACGCACACGTAAACACCCAACAGCAAGCCACACCACGCTCATTGCAACACAAGGACAAGCCAAGCAGAGAGGGAGGGGGAGAGGGGGAGAAGAATAAGCACAACCACAGGAAGTGTCCTTGTGTCCAACACATGCATGCATGTTCCAACACGTCGTTTTGGTTGCTTTTGCACTCACTATATTCCCTCCCCACACGTGTTGTTGGCGATGGCCCTAATCTGGTCCTTCACCCCATCCTTCAGCTTCGTCTGCGCCAGCAACGCCTCCACCTCCTCCCTCGCTCTCTTCTCTCCGCCGGACATGGCGGCGGCGCGGCGTCTTTTCTCCTTGTGGCTTGTTGTGACGTGTTTGTGAGCGGCTGGAAGAAGACGACGACAAAATGGACGACGAGAACGCACTGCTTCTTCTTTCTTTGTTTTGTGTGTGTTGTTGTTTTGCGACTCAGCCATCTGGACGATTCGCAAAACCTTGCAGAGGTTATCCGCACAGCTGCGCTTCGGTGGAAGATGTTCGTCAACAATCTCTTCGAGCCCTCGTTGTCGACAGGAACACAACAAACAAACAGGATGAAGTGCCTCCAGCCAGCCAGCAACAACCCAACTCGCTTTGTCACCGAAAGGAACAACAGCCGCGCCCTCCTCGCTTCTTTGGTCTTGCCTGGTTGGTACAACACACCAATGTCTGTAGCCACATCAACACCACAAACATCACCGCCGCTCCACCATCACCACCGTCAAGCGGGTCTCATCATTTTCATCGAGCCATTTACTGAGGAAAGAACAGGTCCGCCACACAACCCACAAACAACGCTCTCAACACCTCAACACACATCCACACACACAGCAGTGCCCATACGCAACAGGAAGCCAAGCCAACCAAACAACAGCCAACCCCTCTGCACATCAAACAACACCCTCCAGTTACAAGCCAAAATCAAACCACACACAGCAGCAGCAGCAGCACACATCCACCAAACACACCAAGAACGTGTTCAGCCGTACACAGCGCCATACAATGAAAAGAACAGGCAAGCACAAGAAGGGCGTGACATAAGCAAGCAAGCAAGCAGGCAGGCGAGAGGGAGAGTGAAGGAAGGGAAGAACAGAACAGAAGAAGAGAAGAGAAGAAGAGGGAAGAGAGCAAGAAACGGAAACAAGAGGAATGCGACAGAGGAACCGACAGACATTCAGCCATTCGTTCAACTGGTGCACAAGTTGACACGACACATCACAACATGGCGACTATGCGGACGAGCTAAGTGCCTCAACAGCGCGCTGCACGCGGCGTGCACCTCCGGGGTCCTGCGTCAACTGCCCCAACACACCGTGGGCAGGCGAATCCTGCATGTTCTACGAGAGGAAACGACACGAGGGCGTGAGAATGAGGAGAGGAAGGAGGAGGAAGGAGGAGGGAGGAAGAGGGGGATGGGAAAGTACACGAAGTACACGACAGTCGCTTATATTCGAGGCAGCAAACACCCACACACCCACATCACATCAATCACACACAACACAACCCACGCACCATGAGGCTGTGTACATGCCCTGGCAGTGGGCCTTTCGACGGCGGCCGCGGGGGTGCCAACACCTGCACAAACAAACGCCCGCACAATCTTCACCGGGCTCTCAGGCGCGGTCACGCGTGGATCTCGCCTACAGAAGCAACAACAAAAGGAAGGAGAGGGAGGTACAGGAGGGAAGCAATGGGAGAGAGAACGGGGGAGTCAGTCGGGAACAAGAACGACAGGCGGCAGAGCACACCACCGACACATGCAGCACGACCAGGCCATACACACACACACACGCACACACACATAGACACACACACACAAAACACAGTCGTAGCAGTCACGCTTGGAGGAGCTCGACGAGGTATGTGAAGATGTACTTTGTTTCATCGTCGTCTTCTGTAATGGGCAGCCAGTCAAGCAGATGCGTCAGCATCTCGTTTGTACAAGGGTTGGTGGTGGATGGGTGGATGAGGGGGTAAAGAAAAAGCGACGAAAAGGTGACAACAAGAGCAAACAACCAACGCAAAAGGACGGCGAAGAAGGAGTGTACCAATGCACACACACACACACACACACACACACACACACACACACACACACACACACACACACACACACACACACACACACACACACACCTTTGAGAGGCCGTGTGCTGGGTTGCGTGCAATCTTGACAAAGACGGAGATGCAGTTCTCGGTCGCGCTGGTGTTCACAGCGAGCAGCGACTCAACAGCCTGAACGCGGCAGGACGACAAGGGGTGGCGGTGAGGCTTGGCAAGGCGAAAGTGGAGAAAGGAGGGAAACGACGAAGCGACATGTTCACACATGTTCACGAACACACACACACACACACACACACACACACACACACACACACAAACACACACACACACACACACACACACACACACACTCTCTCTCTCTCTGTGGCCTTGAGCGCACCTTGTGTGGATGTATGTGGGTTGTGGATCATCCTCCTCAATCTGGGCGGCACTGGCTTGCATAATGCGCATGAAGTCGTGTGCATCCGGCGCAAACATGTCCTTGCAAACAGACACGCCCATCAGGCCGCGCAGCATGCGGTATTGCCTGTCGTTTGCGTGGTGGAGAATGTTCTTCATAAACGGCACAGAGTCATTGTCGTAGTCCAAGAACCGCTCCTGCGCCACGTTGGCCAGCACATGCATGCGAACCAGAAACACGGTGGCCACCTCCTTGCTGCCGCTGCAACCAGTGAGGAGCGCAAACACACCATCACCTCATCAACTGCCGCTGTTGTTGTCATGGCGTGCAGTACCACCACATCAACCGCCACAATCACGACCAATCCCTCTTCCAACAACGGTGTGGTGGTCCACGAGCCAACAGCATCCAGCGCAGCGAGCTGCTTGAAACCGGCAGCGTGCAGTGACGGCTGTGGCCGCGGTGTGATGCCTCGCTGGCAGAAGATGAGGTGGCGGAACACAGCAGCAGTTGTGGTTGAAGCTGATGTGATTGAGATGGGCAGGGAGAAGCACAGCTAGCAGCAGCGGGCAGCTGGCTGGCAAAAGGGCCTTGAGTGCACCGCCAGAACGCCGCGCAGGACAGCAAGCAGTGCGGCTGTTGCTGTGTTGGCGTGGTGTGGTTAACGATGGCGTGAACACGCATGCATGCACACACACACACACACACATGGCAGTGTCGGGGATGGTGATGATGATGTGGCAGGTTGAGGTGGGGCCACGTGCTGGCAGCACTCAATCACAGCAAAGGTGCAATGCCCGTGGCTGTCGGTGGCTGCGGTTGGTTGATGCGGGGATACGGCGACGATGTGTGTGGGTGGTTGGCTGCTGCAGCACAGCCTGCGCTGGGCCGGAATCGGTGTGTGCACGCGTGCAACGGGAGGGTGGGGCGTAAGATGCAGGCGCTCCACTGGGCGGGGGTGATGCGACCTGTGTGAAGACAAAAAAAGGAGAGAAGGGAGAACTGACGATGAGAAGCTGTCGTGCACGACGTGCCAGTGCAGCCCTGCATCAGCACATTTGGGGCGCTGAATGGTGTTGTATTGACGAGGGGTGGTCGGTGTGCGTGGTTGCTTCGACATGCGGGAGGGGCAACGAGTGCAAATGAATTCAATCACACACACACACACACACACACACACACACACACACACACACACACACACAGACACACAGACACACAGACACACACACACACACACACACACACACACACACCTCTTGCGTGGCGCTGGGAGCGATGCCTGCTGGTGCGTGTCAACCAGCAGCAGTGCCAGTGGTGTCAGTCATGGTGGTATGGAAGCGAAAGTGTGGTGGTGGGATCCTTCGCCTCAGTGCACATTCCAGCCACCACGCTGGAGACCACGGGCTGGCTCACTGTCTCCATGCCCGTGTATTGCACCGACCGCCGTCTGACAGCGGTGATGACAATGTCAGCGGCCTGCTCTGAAGCAAGCACACATCGTGACAGGGGTAAAGGAGAGAGTGTGTGTGGGGGGTGTGATTGACGAGGGGAGGTGGTTGACAAGAACAAGGACTTGCAGAGGGGATAAGTGGGGGAGGAGGAGTGCAAACTGTGGTGTGCATGTCGCGTCACACAGCGCATTGAGGTACAGTGCAGTGGAGTGGAAATCCCAGGCAACACCACCCCCACGCCATCAGCCACACACATACCAAGACAGAGCGAGAGAGAAGGAAGTGCCTCTTGTTGCCGTTGCACACGGTGATGGCACCCGCTCAAGGACACGATACTGTTATTCAAGCCACCATCATCATCCTCATCGTCAGCCTGCAAAACAGGTGGTGGTGTTGAAGATGAAGACGCGCAGCGTTGCAGCCAAAAGCAAAGGGGGAGGTGAGAGGCATGTGACTTGAGCCGTGTGAGTGAAGGGGGGGGAGAAGAGAGGGGGTGCAGAGAGCAGGTCAAGCAAGGGGTGTGCAAAGGAAAGAAAGGGAGAGTGGACTGCGAGGCAGGGAGGAACAGTGTGAAGGAGGGCAGAGCAGTGAGTACAACACACACGCACGCACCACGTGGTGGACGTGTCGCTCGTCCAAGCGGAGTGAATGAATACACGTCCCTTGGCTTGCGTGCTCGCTTGCCTGCTTGCTCGTCTGCTTGATGGATTGCATGTGTCATTGTCATCTGTCATCATCATCAATATCCCCCAGCTGCTCCCTGCTGCTGCTGTTGTTGTTGCTGCTGCTGTTGTTGTGGCTGTTGTGGCTGAGTGTGACCAAACCACCACCAACCACCACCACCACGCACCTCCCCATCCATCCTTTCCTTTCCGTCGCAGCGAATGCATTTCGTCGCAGCGAATGCAGCGTGTGTGTGTGTGTGTGCATTGTGTGCAACCAGCCACGACAAACGTCTGTTGTGCGTGTTTGTGCAGAAGAAGACGGGAAAAGCTGAAATCAGTCGATGAGACACGACTGTGGAGATGCAGCAGCTCAAACTTGCTTGCACTCGCTTCTTCTTCTTCTTCTTCTTCTTCTTCTTCTTCTTCTTCTTCTTGTTCTCTTCAAGGCAAGGAAGGAAGGAGGGGGTGATGTGGCAGTCACTGCAACAGCAGCATGGGGGAGAAGAGAGATGTGGGAGAGGGGAAGACGAGATTGTTGGTGATCGCTACCCAGTCACCAACAGCCAACCAGACCAATGTGGAAGAAAGGTCTCTGACACACAAGCACAGACACATCACATCACATGCACACACACACACACACACACACACACACACACACACACACACACATGCACACACACACACATGCACACAAAGCAGGCGTCACGTCAACGATCCTCAGGTGAGCCAACACACATCATGCCCACTGTTCCTCCCTCGACTTCTGCTTATTGTTCTTCTTCTTCTTGGGCACTATTCGTTCGCTCCATGCGTCAGGCAACCAAGTACGTGAACGTGGGACGCGGTGTCCTGTTTGTGGTGGCAGTGCTGTCGGTTGTTGCTGTTGCCGCTTCGTTGTGGGTGTGGGTGTGGACTCCCTTCTTTCCTTCTTCTTGTGGCACAAGGATGTGTGCAGGGGGCTGTGGGTCTGCTGAAAGTGGTGGTTTCGTCGTCGTCAGGTCGTCGTTGTTGTGCTTGGCTAACGTGAACATGTGTGCTGTTCTCTTGTGATTGGATATGGCAGTGGCCTGCAGAAACCTAACGACGCTCTTGAGACGTGCCGCTGACATACGCACACCACAAGGCAAGCGACAAGCAGTGTCATTCACGGCCACCTGCAAGGTGGGTGCAATCACACCTCCGCTCGTGTGTGTGTTGTGCGCGTGTGTGTGTATCAGTGCACGGTGGTGATCCGATATCCAAACCACAACCACTGCTGTCACTGCTGCTGCCTTGCTGGTGCTGGTGCTGGTGCTGTTGGCACGTGTGTTCTCACGGATGCATCGTCTCTTCCTCCCACGCAAACAACAAACAGACAGGAATCGGCAAGTGAGAGTGGCGGAGACCAAGGCACCAGCAATACAGAAGGCCACGTTTGAGTGGGACGCACCTCCAGAGCGGTACCGGAGCGAGCAATCACAGCATTTGCGCTGACATCGGTCAGTCCTCTGTCGTGGTCACACATCATTCATCCCCCAGCTTGCAATCAAGTCAGTTCACATGGCATACACGCTGTAGGTGCTCATCACCTGCCCCATGCACACGTGGTTTTCACGCACACACCCCACAGCAGCCCGCTTGCGTGGCATCATCTCGCTGGACATGTGTGACGCGCGAATGCTCGGGATGATGATGGAATGCCCACGTCTCATCATGAGAGTGAGCGACGTGTGTGTGTGTGTGTGTGTTTCTCATTACGCTCGGCAACCGTGTGATGACGGCTCATCACTCCTGCGCACATTCCCTCGCTCACCGCAACACCCATTTCGCCACTGTTAACGACCAGGTTGCCATCCACTGGATGCCCTTGATTGCGTCGACGGAGCAGAGCGTTGATAACATTGGCAAGGTGCTGCTCATGGCGGGACAGAGCGAATGCTTTCAAAAGTATGCGCACACTGTATGTGTAGGCGTGTGTGCATATGTGACGTCAACGTGGTCATTCTTCCATGCGTCTGCTGTCTGCTATTCGTGTGCCATTGTTTGATCTTGTGCTGCGATTGTTAGTCCTAATCTCTGTTCCTCGTGCGTGTTTGGGCCACAGGTTATGCCTGGAAGCTGAAGAGAGGAAGGGGAGACGCTGCTCCGGCACAAGGATGATGGTGACATGAGGTGCGAGCACCGAATTGTGTTGTTGTTGCGGGTGCATTGCCGCCGCCGCCGCCGCCGCCGCTGCTGCTGCTGCTGCTGCTGCTGCTGATGTGTACCTGCACACACTGAACCACTCATCACTCGCTATCGTCTTGCAATCCTTCTGTGCGGTTCTCTTCACGCCTTCGTCTCTACAGCATCATGTCTGCCGAAGAGAACGAACTCTTTGACACAGTGTATGTGTGTGTGTGTTTGTGTGTGTGTGTGTGTGTGTGTGTGTGTATGTGTGTGTGTGTGTGTGTGTGTGTGCAGCGGTTTGTTGCAGATATCTCCAGATATCTCCCAACACTCCTCCCATCCCCTTGCATCCGCGCGCCTCACCACACAACAAATGCACCCATCGTCTCGACCACAACCACCACTGTTACCAGAACGCACTGCCCCGAGATGCCGCTGCACTATCGCACTGCCATTGGCGGTCCTGATGTCAGCGATGACCGCACGGCATATCCGTCGATCCTCTTCGCACGTGCCCATCGTTCAAGGTGAAGACCCACCAACACAGCAACAGCAACAGCAACGACGTGGCATGGAGTGCAACTGCAGCATGATGACCTCACACTCTCTGTCTGCGTGTGTGTTATGATTGCGTGTTCATGCGTGCGTGCATCGATTCCAGGTGTACGTGTACCGTCTGACTGCTGACGAAGAGGCCGCCCCTGCCAGCCATCTACCGCGCCATCCGAACCGCCATCCGTGACGGCCGTACAGCACCGATGACCTGTCCAAGGCTTACCTCTTCGTTCCATGCACCGACGTATCGTGCTGGTGTGAAGGTGTGTGTGTATGTATGTGTGTGTGTGTGTGATTGTGTGTGTGTGTGTGTGTGTGTGTGCGCGTGTGTGTGTGACTTGTGTGTGTGTCGCGTCAGTGCAGATGCACGGGCTTCCACAGCAGTCACTATCACCCACCACCACCTCATAATTGTGTTTGCGCGCTTGCGGCTGAAAGATTGCATGCACAGCACGTACTCTGGCAACATTGAGTCGATGCATCCCGTGAGCGCAGCCATCGAGCGCAATCTCTCCAGCTGAGGGGGTGGTTTGTTGTTGCCTGTGGTGCTGGTGGTGCTTGTGGGTCTTGATGTCGTGCGTGTGAGAGGACCTGCGCTCGTGAATGCCTTCCAAACACACACAACAATACATGTGATGATGCATGGCAGACTTGCGTATTGGAAAGAGGGCTGCAACCACATCCTGTTTGAGTACAGCGACGCACCATGTCTCCCTGGCATGCAGAACACCCCATTCTTGCAGAGGTACAATGTGTGTGTGTGTGTTGGAACATGACTGTGCGTGCCTGCGCTCACCATCGACGACTGCTGTTGCTTGCCGCCTTGTTTCGCATCACCACCTGCATCAGGTTGGCCTGAGCGAATTCCACCATCGCAATGGCCTCGGTGTGTCCATGCCACTCTGCTCCCTGGACGGCATTCATTCACACCGGAGTAACGACGCGTTCCGCCCGCACAAACAGGAAATACCTCGTCATCTTCAGGTCTGTGCATGTGTGCATGCGTGCGTGTTGTGACGTGGTGTGATGTGGGGTTCAATGTTCACTGCTGCTGCTGGTTTTTGAGGGCTCGGTGTCGCTCACTGCACCACCACTCGCCCTTCTTGTGTCCCTGCAATCTCACTCCAAACCTGTTGTGGTGCCGCTGCTTGACGTGTGTCTTCTTTCCCTGGTGTGCAGGGGCACCACCAAGTCTGCTCGCTCTCATGTCATGCTCAACCACCTCCCCAAGCTGCACAACGGCAGGTGTGGTGTGCTACGCGTGTGATGTGTTGTGTGTTATCGTGTGTTCCGTGTGTGTGTCGTGCGTTGCCTTGGCATCAACAGATTTTGGTGCTGCGTGTGTGTCTGTCTGAATCCACCTCACACACACACACACACACACATCGCCTGTGTTTGTGCGTTTGCAGGGACATTGTGTTGGTGTGCGCGTGCCAGTGGTTTGGCGAGGAGCGCATGGGCCGTGAGGGGGAAGATTGGATATGACCCCTCGTGTACGCAGGCAGAAGAAGAGTTCAACAAGTACACGTGCACGGATCTGGCGCTGAAGACCAAGTTTGGGCTCATCGTGGATGGATTTGGCTGCCACTCCTGATGCGTGCGTGCGTGCGTGTGTGCGTGTGTGTGTGTGTGTGTGTGTGTGTGTGTGTGTGTGTGTGTGTGTGTGTGTGTGTGTGTGCGTGCGTGTGTGTGTGTTGCAGATGATTTCGATCCTGTTCGTGCTCTCACCCGCCTTCCATCTCCTGTCACCCCCCTTCATTCCTCATAGATCATGGCTGCGGGTGCCATCCCGTCATTGTCGTCGACCACTACGTGCTGGTGCGTATGGATGAATGGCACATGGTGTGTGTGTGTGTGCGTGTGTGTGCGTGTGTGTGTGTGTGTGTGTGTGTGTGTGTGTGTGTGTGTGTGTGTGTGTGTGTGTGTATGTCCCCACACTGTGTGGATGCCCCCCTCTCCCTGTTTGTGTGTGTGTGAAGCGATGTTATAGCTTTTGCTTTTTGCACACGTGTGCCCCTCTCTGGGCGTGCGCGAATGTGACACTTTCGGGAGTGTGAATAGCACAGGAGAGGGCCGCGAGGTGTGTGCGCGCGCTCAGCGATCTCACTCGCTCATTATATGCATATATACACGCGCGAGGTCGGTTTAGAGGTATGTGTATTTGTGTATGTGTTTGACTCAAACCACCACACACACACACACACGCAAAAAAACAAAAGCGCGCTCTTTGTACACGCTGTCTGCGAGCGCACTCACACACACCCCCACATCAGTGCGTGACGCTCTATGTTTTTTTTGTCTCTCTCCTCTC